GAAGTTCAAGAGGTCAACGGGGGGGGGGGAGGATGCGAAATATGCCTATGTAGGCGGAGTTTGCCACAAAACCTCATAATTCGCTTCCTAGACGTCTTCCCGAGCCTACTTGATAAAAGCCGATATTTATGATGGATATTGATTGATACCGCGTGACTCAATAGAATTTTGATTGTTGTAACCCCATCAATCTATAGTGTGATTAGTAAGCAAGTCTGAGCCTCCCAGACAAAAATCGATATTTTCAATCGATATCGATCGATAGCATGTGAACCGATAAAATTTCCATTCAGTACAGGCCCCAATCAATAGTGTGATTTCCAAACTTATTCGAGCACTCTGCACAAAAACCGATATTTTCAATCGATATCGATCGATAACATGATCTAAAATCCAACTCCTACGACACTACCCAATCAATATTGTGATTCGCTTAGCAATTCGAGACCACTGCACAAAAACCTATATTTTCTACGGAGATCCCAGCGTAAGTTCCCGCCCACCTGGTCGGACTCCGCCCACTACCGTACCCTTTCTAACCAAGCCTTGCCTTCACCCTACACCCTCTAGGGGCAACTTCCTACCTATCCGGGACCACGCCACACCCATCCAGGACCATGCCCCAACTGGCTTCTTCTGCCTACGTCTACGTAACGTGCGAGCCTAGTGGTTACAAACAGACAGACAAACACACCAAACTTCTGCTTTATATACAGAGTAGATTGTTGTTGTTAGAAACAGTTTTCTGCCGTTCTCCCTCCTTCCTGTCCATTTAATGTCGTTTTCACATTTCGTCGCGAGCAGTCGAGTCTTCGCATTATTTCCTACCGCACTATTTAGTATAGTATTTTGAAATGTTTCTACATCTTTGTCGTGATGAAGATATTTTTTCTCAGCGCTCCATTTAGCTCTCCAACAGTATTGTATCTCCTACACTAACCAAAAAAGTTCATAATACCTTGATCCTTACACATATAATAACTTGCTGGTGAAATCAACTGGCGTGATCAATGCGAGAGAAAGCACCGAAAATCTCTATGTGGTGACACCGCTAATAAGCTATGTGGATTATTCATTTCCGTGAGTAGGATAGAGCAGCAGATGTGCCGTACTTGCGCTTTGAAGAACGTTGTGAACTTCGAGAATGGGTTACGCGCTTACAGTTCTGACGCTCGGAAGAGACGCGTCCATCTGCTGCTTTCGTTGTCTTAGTTAGTAGATAAGTATCTTTTTAATTGAAGTTAGCTTGATGATTTGCTTGAAGCATTAGCCTGCATGATTAGCTGATATTATGATCAGAAAATATAAGTGCGAAAAGTGACCAAAATTTTGACTACATCAATAATTCGTAATTGTGCTTATATACAGCACAAATCAAACATTTCCGCTTTTTTTAAGGAACGGAGGTTGCATATATTTCCAGAAAGCGCGCTCATTAATGTTACTGCTTTTCTTTAGTTCGTTGCTGAGATGCTTTCTTGTTCACATGCCAGTTTTGCAGTTCCTTCGAAACGCCACCGGCTCCTTTACGATCTTTTTTCGAGCAAGAGCGGAAATGGAAAAGGAGTCGAAAACTCGTAGGAATTTGAGCTCTTTATTCTATTCTAGACATTCTTTTCATTGCATTTGCTCCATATGCTATATTTTGCAATTTAGGATCTTAGTCGTGATTCAAAATGTGTAATAGGCGTGCTGTGCGATCTTCCACTTCATGCTTTACATTCGTCCTCTGCTCTACGCTACTCGGTCAGTTTACTATGTTTTCTCTCTTTATGAGATATTTTTTCCTGCTCAGTCGCGTTTCGGTTTTTCACGTAATTCATTTGTGTGATCAGCTTTTACCAATATCATGAGATTTTCTCGTTCAGGTGGCAGTTCTGATGTTTGCGAATCACATTTGAACCCATCGATTTGGCCTTATTCTCGACCACCATTCGCGTTCTTCAATCTCTTGCAGGGTGAATTCTCTTATTTTTACAAATATACTGTGGTCTGAATATCAGGTTGAGCAGTAATTATCCGCCGTTTAACAGCATTAAATGCGTTATCAAAACGCTCTCGGATAGATGCAGAAGCATTCGATTTCGAGCTCAACTTGCACTCATGCAGCGTGAGCAATCTTTTTTGCTCACGTGTAAGCTCCAGAGTGAAGCAAATACACAAGTGTTGTACATCAAAATGTACAAGAGATTGCGCGCTTTCAGACTACATCATAATCTTTGAAAATAATCAGCAAAAATCAAAGAGTCCATGAGCCTGAAAAGAAAAACGGCGGATAATAAATGCTCGGCCTAATACTTCACGTTAGGGCTGAACTAATGGGTTGCTGGTTTTCCTTGAATTTCCGCATAACTTATCAAATTGCGCTGGCCCCTCTCAATATTTCTTCACAGTGTTTTAGAAAACATAGTCGCATACCAATTCCTGATAACTACATATGTAGCTATTAAATAGGCGCACACTTATTATTTCCCAGTGACTCCTGCTAAGTTATTTTTTCTATGCACTAGCTCATCTACTTTCTTTTACCTTATACTAACGAATGACGCTGAAATAACACACTAACAACGTTTTGGATTGCGAGTATGAACTGTGGATGGTCGAGGTTAGGTCTTTATAGTCATTGCTCCGGGAGTGTGGCTGACAGAGTTCTTGGAAACTTGGACCTCATTTTTGCCAAATGGACAGTCGGTGAAATTGCTAACGAAATCAGTATTAGTGTTGTATTCCATGTTATTCATGGCTTTCATAAGTGAAGGCGTCAAAGGAGAGGGGTAAAAAAATGCAGAGGTGTGTGTTTGAATCAAGGCTGCTGCTGTTATCCGTTTGTTTTGTACAAAGTAGCCTTAGTTTTTGAGGGTTCTTTCACATATCTCCATGAGTTGCGTTGCGTTAGCAATTGGCGTGTGGAGGTGAGGCAGTTGCATTGTTGCCACACGTCTTGTCCTCGGGTTCAATCTCCGTTTTAACCAACCAGGCCTCGATAAGAGGATAAGAACTGCATACTGTGTCGCAGACTATCGTAATTTGCTCCGCTGACCGCGTCCATTCTAACTTCTCCACGTTTAGTACTTGAGCTGGCCCATTTCCAATATGAATCAACAATTGCGAGTGCTTTACCGTCTCCCTAACTGAAACTCATATTTGAAGGTTTCATATTTTATCTTACCAATATTTACAGCCAAACCGAGGTCCGGCAGCTCCGAGAGAATGACAATGAACGAGCGCGTTACCGTTCTCTCTACTAAATTCATATTGAAGGTTCGTATTTACTTACAATATTTAACACCACACGACGCTCTTCCGCTCTGAAAATACGAAGTCCTGCATCCTTCTCTATTCAGTGTGCGATTTGTGCCCTGCTCTAAAGTACTTCGAAGGTCAAGAAGTTACGTGCTGGTCTTGGGAACAAGTGATGAGGTAATGTGTTACATGTAATCTTTTTTCTACTATTCTCTTATTACAGTCTGTATGTTTTCCACACAAACTAGATTTTTCAGGCTGTCAGTCTTGTTCACGACCACAAAGTGGGAAGAACTGTTGCGGTGTTCTGAGTGTTTGCAACAGGATGTCATAGAAAAGGTCTACATTGTCTTCAAGTGTTTGTGGTCCATACAGCTAATGTTTATCTCTGAGTTTTTTACAGTTATGTTCCTCACATCCCTTAGCTTGCCGAAGCTCCCTCAGTGAAATAAATTATAGTAGGGCGGAAGTGGTGTAGTGGCAAGTGGCACGCTTACCACGCGAGCGGTCCGGGGATCAAATCCTGGGTCGTGAGTCGCCCGGGCCAACCAAGCCTCCCTCCGGGGTCGGTTAATTGGTACCAGACTTGTCTGGGAGGATAAAAACACTGACTTGTACATCGGCTGGCCCCCGCAAGTCATTGTATAGGCCACATCGCATTCAAACGCCACTACGAATGTACAAATGGAAGTAGAATGCGTGCCGCATCCCAAAAAGGGATTGATCAACGGCAAATGCTTTATCCTTTATCCTTTATCCAACACTATAACCTAAGGTAGCATCTGCTAAGCATTTTTGGAGGCGCTCAACTTTTTTTCTTACGAATTCTTTAGCTCTTTTTTGAATTTTAAATTCTCCAGCCAACTAGGGACGCATCTCTTTTGCGACGTGTGCCGAGGGTGGTCGATTAAGTTTTTTTTTGCTATAGTTAATGTCCAGTCAAAAATCTTCCGTCATTTCATCACAATTATGGTCATCGCTCATACTCATTGCAGTGACACAACGTGCGCATAACGAGATGTTTTAGATCAAAACTACGTATCTTGTGAGCATGTTGTCGGACATCAGCTGGAAGGACCAAGACCGAGCAAAGGCCTACGCTGATAGATGGTCAATATTATTTACATGTTGGGAAGCAATTCCACGAGGGGTACGGCAATCTGTGATGACGAGGCTTCTTGAAAATGACTTGAATGTAATCAGAAAGTGAGTTTTATTGTTTTCCATTGAAAGGAAGGTATGCTCCATATGTGCTAATAAAGAGTATTGCTCCAGATATCTAATTGAAAGTATTGTTCCAGATTTGCAGACCATGTAATCAGAGGCAAACTGCAGTTGAATAGTGCGATCGTGGACCAAGCTGTCACTTTCCGCTTGAAGCATCTAATCGCTTTGGATGGAGCACAGACACTGGAAAGCATTGCCGCTTGGAAAGTGCTGCTTTATTTGCAGAAAATAAACGCTTCTGTGGACATTGTGATATCGCTGTTATCCGTTGAGAAGGTTTGTACAAATTTTGTTGTAAG